ACTGCCGGCTGCAGCCGCGAAAAGAGCCCCAGCAGCCGCCGCCAGCGTTTCTCCATGGGGTCCGCAAGTCGGGCGCACGCACCCAGACGCTACCTACATGCGGGAGGGGGAGTGCGACAAGGTCTCCCTAAAATAACGCGAGTCGGCTCCTAACCCTCACACTGATTCTTAAAAAAGGAAGCCGGGTTCCATCGCTTGCTGCTTCCATCTCCACCTCTACAACCGTGAAGGTACCGCAGTTCTTTCACCGCCACCGGCGCCTCCTGGTGGACACTCAGGGGTGTTGGTTTGTTTGCTTAGAGGACAAGAAATGAAATATTTTTGTATATTTATTTAATTTGTGTAGATTTATAATATTTATACACATGTGTATATTCTACACACATATAGATATGAATGTAGGGGTAGATATGTAGCCGTATCGCTAGCAATCCTTAATCTGTCAGCATCTTAACTGGGTAGAATGGGTAGAATGACAGAATCTTGGGCTTATTTCTCTAGGGGCCCCTTCGAAGCAAACAAACTTGATAGCGAATAATTGGGTAGAAATGTGGCAGCTAATCCAAACTGTGCTTTCATTTCTTAAGAAAAACTAAGAATATTCATTAAGGGTTTGAGACAGGCAGATAGATAATGTAACAGTTTATGAATTCCTGATTTCAGATCATTAAAATGAAGACCAGTTAGTTCCATTTCATGAATGTTATTTTAAGACACCTCTCCCCACCGCTTTTCCATTTGCACGGTGGCCGTAGGCAACAGATGGGAAGAATATTGAAGGAGAGGAGTCTGGGAGGGGGTGGGAGGTAACATGAGACAGCAGGGTGAACTATGTTGTTAAATAACTGACATCATCAGGTAGGATGTGGGGAGACAGTGAAGGGCTTTGAGTGCGGAAATGACATGATTTGGTTTATGTTTTAGGAGCATAATAACTGGCAGCAATAGAGTGGGGGCCTAAGTGTTGAGAAGAGACAGGAAGCCATGTCACCAAGGAAGGAAGGATTGAGATGGGTGGGCAGTAGCAGGAGCAATGGGTCTGATGAGGAGGGGGTGTCTATTGTGGAAATAGAGGATGAAAGAAGCAATGCCAGAAGTTAGCTTGGCCCTGGGGTGTAAGGAACAGTGGGGGGTCAAGAATGACTGCTTGGAGACCAGCAATTGGCATAATGGCTATGTTGCTGTACTCCCACATAGTTGACCGTGGTTCAAGTCCTGGACCCATGGCTTAAACTCACACCAGGCGCGTGTGTGTGTGTGCCCAAGATCCCAAGAGGAGGATGGAGGAGAAGGGATTATGGCATGTCCATCTCTCCTCACCCTCCCCCACCCCCTGTGGGGTGATTTCTCGCTTTCTATCTCTCTGTCTCTCTCTGTCTTTCTGGCGAGCACATGCAAGAATGACTGCCTGGAGCAATAGGGTGACTGTGTGTACCAAGTGGATTCCAACTAGGACACAGGATTCATTGGTGTGGAGGGACAGGGATGGATGGCTTCCCTTGGGGACCGCAGGTGGCTACATCAGTCGTGTCAGAGGTCTGAACTGGAGCTAGACCTTAGGGTATCACCAAATGCAAGGTCCCTAAAACCAGCAGTGTGAGTGAGGTCACTCAGAGAGGGCAAGTGGAGTGGTAAGAGAGGCTCACAGGGCACCGATGGGGCCGCTGAGGAGTCTCTGATGTGGATTAGTAAGGATGGGCAGGAAAGCATGTAAGCTAACAGTAGAGCACTTCAGGGGAGTGTAGGGCTGAAGAGGTCCAGAAGGATTTCACCTGGCATCTAACATCCATTGAAATGGACAGTTACTGCTCTTCGGTAACATCAACAATAACAGCTTAGTATTGTACTAGGGGTAGATGCCAAAGGGCAAAAGGTTGAGGTGCAATGGAAGATGAAGCAGTGATAGTTATTCATTCTTTTGTCATTTGGATGATACAGCCCACTGTGAAGGGTTTGGAATTATACCCTAGTTACATGTGAACAAGTTAGCCTGCCACAGTTCCATAGATGCTGGCAGAAGCCATGAGACTCCTGGGTCAGAAACAAAGGACTTTGGTACTCTGGCATAGCAGGCAGTGCAAGATCATGTTAGCGTTCCTTTGCTCTACAAGTCCCATGGGCCATGGAGAGGTGGCCCTAAGTACACACTATACACACAATAGGCTTATGTGACAGCTGAGTTAACCCATGTTTAGTAAACCCTAGTATTTTTTAAATTATTTATTTTATTATTTTATTTTATTATTATTATTATTCATTTTTATCAGAGAGAGATGAAGAGAGAAGTGGGGGGAGAGTGAGAAAACAAGCTGCCAGGTCCACAGTCAGCCATGTGGGAGTCCAATGCTCCAATCACCACGCCACCTGCTCGCCCCAGTAAACCCTACTTTTTAAAAGTGGCTATTAGGGCCAGCAGGTAGCATGGTGGTTAAGGTGCTGGATTCCTACATGGCCAGCTGTGGTTTGAGTCCCAGACCTGGCACACTGGGCATGCTTGCATGTGTGCCAAGAATCCTGAGAGAAGAATGAAGGAGAAAGGATTGTGGCGTGGCCATCTCCCTTGAGGGGCTTTCTTACTTTCCCTCTCTTTGTCTCTCTCTGGTGAGCACATATGGCCTATGGCAAGAAACCAAAAGCAGAATAAATAAAGATAGAAAATTTAAGAAAACAAAGAGGGGATGTTTATAGCTACTAATAACCTTGCTCAACTTTTGGCTCAGTGGGAGGTATTATATTTTTTGTTTATTTATTTCCATGAGAGAGAAGGCACCCCCAACAGGGTCCTTAAGCTGTGATCCACCCCCAGCCTCAGCCAGCTCAGATCGTGGGCATGCATGTGCACACTTGGCATGCTCAGGAAGGTCCTGGGACAGGAACCCACGGTGCCACTGCCCGGCATGGAGGTATTATCTTTATCCACGATAGCAAACAAATCTTCCCTCTGACCTGGGGAGAGACACTGTCACCCACAATGTTTGCTGTACAACCATCCTTGAACAATGGAACAGAACAAAAGCCTTTACAGGGGCCAGTTGGTGGCACAGCAGTAAAACCTGACCCTCTACAAGTCGGGTCCATATGGGAAGGTTACCAGTCCAAGTCTGGAGGCCTTGCTGAGTACACCAGGCACAAATGCACCTATGATCTGGGACTGACTGAAACAGGAAGTGTATTACGGCATTAAAACCTGTCAGGAGCCAGCTGATGGGGTAGTGGTGGAGGTGCTGGATCCCACATGGTTGACTGCAGTTTGAGTTGCAGACTGCAGCTTGAAAAACACACTGGGCACGTGTACATGCATACTTAAAATACTGAGAGGAGAAGGGATTGCAGTGTGGCATCCTGCTAGGGGGCGCTTTCTCACTTTCCATCTCTCTGCCTCCAGTGAGTGCCTGTGCCCTATAAAAAATGAAAAACTTTAAAAAAATAAGACCCTGTTGCCGCCAGCAGGTGATGTGGTGGTTAAGGCAGCTGGACTCCCACATGGTTGATGGTGGTTTGAGTCCTGGACCTGGCAGCTTGCTTTCTCACTTGCCTTTTCTCTCTGTCTCTCTCTGGTCAACTTTGAAAAATAAAATAAATGACAATGAGTACAATTTTTAAAAAAGACCCTGCTAGGAGTGTTGTATATCCACCTCTGTCTCTGTCTGTCTCTGCCTTTCACTCTCTGTCTTTCTCACTCATACAATACACTTTAAAAAAATTCCAAAAAAATTCCACATGCAGAAATGCCATGAAGAATTTCTCTCTATAGGGAAAAGGAGCAATTGTACTTGGTTAGTAAGAGGTGGAACTGTGATTTGGATCTGGCCTTATGTGATCTTGGAGCGCATCCCATGCGTTGTATTTCCATCCCCACCCAAGCATCCGAGCGATGAGGATTCAGATGGAGATGGATGAGATGTACAAGCCCGTCTCTACAAACTCGTTTCCCTGCCTTTGCATAGAATCTCATTAAATTT